GGCCTATTTTATAATCCCGGTATACGGCGCAATTTTCCCGTCTAACTATTTTGTTACACACAGTTTCATCACGATCCGCCGTCTTCGTCTAGCCTGGCCACTTGAGAGCTTTTCACATCCCTCCTATCCGCACCTTCCTACCCCCCCCCCCGGAACCGGTCCGCTTTCTCACCTTTTCCCGTACTCGTCCGGGGGTTTGCCGTCCCACTCGCACCGCCGCACCGCATAGGATCGTAAAAGGCCGGAATTTCTGTTCAAACATCTGCAAAGCCGCGCTCCGGGGCATCTGAGCCCCTTTAAAGCTTCATACAAATTCATGACGGAGCACCCGGGACTGCTCGCGCGCCGCACTATCCTCCAAGTTTTCGGCAGGGTAGGTGGGTACATATGCATGCATGTGCATACGTATTTGCACCCCCTCCCCCCTCTCCCCGGTACGGTTCGTAATATTATTTAATAACCTTTTGCGCGCGCCGTATCAGCGCGGGGATAGTGACACGGCAAAATTTCGCGGATTAGTTTTGGCGTTTTATTAATACGTGTCACATCATCGTGTTCCCGCTCTCGCTATTTCGCTGCATTCCAAGAGATCAAGAGAAACGTTACTTCAGCTGCGGCGCGGTCGATGGGTTTACTGTCACAAGAGGCGAACTACTGGAATGGAAAGACAAAGTTGAATGAAGATCGCGATTGAGGTGTTAAGGCTGATTTATGAGCCGATTACTAGACAGAATGTAAATGTTCATAGCAAGCTTGTGAGTACATTGTATAGTCTCGTTGCAGCGGTTTAAAATAAAATTACCTTTCTACATGTCCGAATGCGATATCGATATTTAGAACGTATATAAATCAGGATAATTAATTTTTCATAAATTGAGATCTTTAAATATTGTGAATGTAATAAATGAAAATAATGAAAATAATGAAAATACGTATATAAATACTGGAAATAAAGTAACATTAAATTATTAATGTTTAATCGTGATATGTTAAAATTGATCGTAGAAAATACATTTATAATAATTATAGCACTACTCTACGCATATTATGAATATTCAGGTCTTTAACATTTTGATGTTGTATCCCAAGAGAGACCCACATGCATGGGAAAATGCAAAGCGAAAACATTGTATTATACGATATCCGAAATGTATATTTCTTTTATTTGAATAATCTTATCTTTTTCCTCTCTTATTCGCGTCTATTATTTTTGTAACGAGATACATTCGAATGAATGACTTTTCGTATTGACAATGTCATACTTCCACTTTCGTCATTATGTATTGTCCATTATATTATTTTATACACAGTTGGAGCATACCCGTGCATTCAGATATTCAAAGCGTTCTTTTGCTATCCACTTTTATCATGTATTATTAATTCCTTTGGCAGTTTTGCCATACACATTGGCGTATATTAATTTCACAAAGCTCGGCAATTCCGATGGATTCCAGTTTTCGTCGAACGTTGCGCGTTGCAAAAAATATTTTTCAAATACCTCCAATAATTAATATCGGCAAGAGTTCATATATTTATATCTCTCTCACATGCGACGTCGCTTTGCCTCTGTAGGCGAATTTTTATACGGCCGAGTGAAAGTTTCATTGCGAATCGTCCTTAAAAATAACTATCAGTGTTTGCTCAATCCGATGTATCGATTTGCATCCGGGCTTTGAGCTACCCACTATCTAAATATTCCCGGACTCGTTGAAGAACGGCGGAATACATTAATATCGGATGAGTTGAATGACGAAATGAACTTGTATCGAAAGGACCGGTGCTACCACGATCAAAAACTTATTGCAAATATTTTATCCAACATATTGCATCCGAGGGATCTAAAAAAGGCTTGCTTGAGGCGCATCAATCGATCAATGTTTTATTTTGAGCTATTTAGTAAACTACAAAATCATCGGAATTCAGTGATTTCTTTCCTCTTTTTTTCTTTCTCTTTATTTCTCCCCCTCCCTCCCTCCTGCGGGTTTTGAATTAATTATTACTTTTTATTTTTTACTTCCAACGTTGCATTGATGTAACTGCATTTAATAAACAAGTGTAAAATATATATTTATACATTTTTTTATGCATGATACAGCATATATTACTTGCTGAAATTTTTTTACACATAATTGTTTTTTTCCGAATTTCCAGAGTAACACAACAGAGTAATCCTCGACAATCCAATTATTTAACATGATTAAAACGTGTTGTTAAAGACAGGGATAAAAACGAAATTATTTTCAATACATTGATTAAATCCATTGATTAAATGCATTGATTAAAATTCAAAAATACAAAAAATTATTTTGTGAAAGATTCTTCGACGCGGCTTAATTGAAGTAAAATGTTATTGAGAGAGACAAAATAAATTATAAATTTTTCCCCGGACTAAATCATACGAATATTATTATTTTTACCTACAGTTTATTCCTTCGTATTCAATTTAAAAAAAAATACAACGGATTCTGGCACGCACATCGCAACGGCAGACAGACGTTGTATTACGTTGAAGTGATTAAGCGAAAGAGCGAAGCGACGGGAATACATCGTTACGGTCGTCGTTGTGTTGAGCCGCGAGAAAATCGAGCGTACGCTCGCCCTCGTCGAAGAAATATGTTTTTACGACCTCCATCAATATTTTTTTTCGCTTTTACGCGCACGCGGATATCCGGCCACTTCGCGGCGATCGTTTGCTGCAACGACGCAACAACGGCGGTTATCGGACGAGTGTTATCACGTCACTTGATATCCATGAGACCATGCTGCCGTTCTCCACACTCGGATTTCGCGCGTTCTCTCAATTATTCGCACCGATCGATCGGCTGCGCCTTGCCCTGCCAATCGGCGGCGTTGCACACCGCGTCCGCTCTACGTGAATATAGCACGTGGCAAGGCAGAGTTGGCAGGGCATGTGTCTCGTGAAAGAAACATCGCCGCCCGCTCTAATGGCCGGGGGATCGGTTAATCGTGACTAGGAGACAAGCAAAGCCGAAGTAAACCGGGGTAAAGATTTATGAACGTCACCCTCCGGGGAGGGTGTATCGCTACCGCCGATTCAGCTGGACCGAATTTATTCTTATGGCTCGCGTTTGTTTCGCTAATTGTCATTATGGAGATGTGTTAAGCCAGGATTGACATTGATTGTTCTTACAATAATTCAAAACTTGTAATTCAGCATCGAAAAAAAATGTGTATAATATAGCATGATTGTGCTAATGTTACGATTACAACTATTACGATTAGAACTATTACGTTTTATTATATGTATAAATTATTTATTTATTTAAATATTTATTTAAATAAATAAAAATTTTATTTATTTATTAATAATTATTTATTTATTTAAATTAGTTATTTTTAAAAACATTGTTACAAAAAATAATGAAATTCACAGAATGTCACAGAGAGTAGAAATAAAATTTATTCACTTGCTTATCATTGTTGATATTCGAGAAAAGTGCAAAGTGTATCGAGATTTATCAAAGATAGAAAGTATTATGTTATATAAAGAAGTAAATATCATGTCTAAACAATGAGAAGAGACTCTTTTTCTTTCTATCGAATTTCTGTCGGAAAGAAACTTCTTTCTTACTCCATCGAATTTCGTTCTTCCATCAATTGCATTATCGGTCAGTAATTTATTTCCAAAAGTTACTCTCCTTGGATACGATCTGCAGTTTATATAGCTTTTATGATATAGTTTTGCTACGTAATATAATTAGAAATTCAGATAAAAGTTATACAAAATATCATAAATCATTTCTGAGTTTACTTTTTAGCACGTATATTGATAGAATATAAATATTATCATTAATCCCTTTGACAATTGTATGTATTAATTTAACAAATTTTTGTAGCACAAGAATAAAATATGATTATTATAATTTTCATTTTACAAAAATTTTCGTCCGTTTTGCTCCGAGGAAATTTTTAAGCTATGCTAGCCTTATTTTTATAAAGACATGTTTTGTATATTAAAAATCTTTTTATATTAAAAACTTTTGTTTGTTGTATATTGAATACTATTCTAATATCGATTTAAATTGCTTTCACATCTCGAAATGTAAACAGATTACTGTATCTTATAATAATAATAACAATAGCCGCTAATTTCTTGTCACGGAGTAACGATCGTCTTACTTTTTATATTCTCTTTCTTCTATTAACTTCTTTCCCAGTTGTTTCCCAGTAATAAAGAGCCACCGGAAGTTTTCTCATAAATCGTTATTTGATGTAACGCAGACACGAAGCCAATACATATATCTTCACCAATGACATCGAAAGTCCTGATCACGCGAGTCAGATTTAATACTTGTGCAGCATTGAGCTATTTGCGACATGGTGATTTTGCATGAACTGGATTTAACGAGAGAGATTTTAATGGAAGAAAAATTGTAACGCAATCGAGTAAGTTTGATGAAAATTGGAGAGACTTGTGGTATTAACTTAATCGTCGCATTTTTTACATTTCGTGACTCCGTTATAATTTTATTACAATCTTGCTTGTACGAATCTCATTGCAAACTTTCATAATAGATTAACATAGATTCGCGGGCATAAATTATGCGGCAATAAAAACGTATTCTAGATTTCTGTGTGTGTGTGTGTGTGTGTGTGTGTGTGTGTGTGTGTGTTTTATATTACAACTAAATTTCACAATGGATCGATATATCTGCATTCGGTTTACGTAAACGTGATCTTTTTAACCTTAAATATTGGTACTCTATGATGTCTATTTGTCGTAAAGATATTTTATCTTTGCGTGTTAAATTTTAACTCTGAATGTTAAACGCTACCTATTCCAGCTTTACTATACGTAAAGCTGCGGATTGCTAAATTTCAAACCAAACTATTTGCATAACCGCTTTTCCTGCTTTGCTCATGAGATAACAAGGATGAAACGTTGCTTACCCATTTACGCGGAGGTAGAACCTGTCCGTTTCCGTGAACTATATTTGCGCTCTCGACCAAGCTGAATCAATTCCCGCTTCTGGTTTCAGTGACCCTGTATGACGGCGAGCAATTAAACTTGACGAGGATCACACGCAGCGAAATGGGCGCTTATCTCTGCATCGCGACCAATGGCGTGCCGCCCACGGTCAGCAAGAGGATCATCGTGGATGTCGAATGTGAGTTTGTTGCAAGCACGTTATTATAACATTCGTACATACATATCAAATATGAGATACGTACATATTCATGATGAATGGCATGGCAGTTAGCAATATAGTAGGGCACAATGTGATGTGATAATTATAATTTTATGATGTTACCATACCAGATGTTCGGTTACGAACGCTTAACAGCGTGAATATTTAATTCATGGGTTCGGTCGAAATGCGTGAGGCCTTGCAATAAGTATTATCTAAAATTTGATGACGTCACAGCGGTGTCAGTTTGACGCCATGAAATAAATGGCAAGGCATATAAATTAAGATTATACATACAATAATGTAAAATTAAAAAGATACTACGAGATAACGATATCATAAAATGTAGAACAACGGCATGCTGCAGGTGTTGCAAGAACTTAATTACTGTAATAAATTATGTTAATTTGTTATGCGGCAAACTACTGTGATTGTGAACTCCAAATGTTCGTAAAATATAATTTTCCAGCTTGTTCTTTCGTAACAAAACATATACTAAATATTAGCACGCGTGACGTGAACTTTTTCGAGGAGGCGACGCGAAAATTAGGGAGGGGGGAGGGTGGTTGGACCGTATCCAACAACCGATTTATCGAATAAATTTTAAATTCTTCGTTATACGCGATCCCCCGATCCGATGGCGGGCCGGTCGTGTATTGTTTAAATTTCATTTCACGAATTGTACAACGTGAGCACACGTGCGCGTGCACACGTTGGTTGTACAGCGACGCACGTGCTTCGGCACCGAATACATGTATCAGGCAACAAGGCAAGGAAGGGTAGGTCCGCGGGGCCCGCGGAACGGGTGCGGAGGGGAGCGAGGAGGGAGGGAGAGGGAGAGGTCGGGAGTGTCGGAGGGAAACGCCGTCGGGAAAGCCCGGGGGAAATACTGGAAGCCGCGCGCAAGCCGTCCCGTCGGCCCTGGTCATTTTTCCCTTTTATGCGTTTCATTCGTTCGTGTCACTTCGTATGCCTGCATCCGTGCGCCGCTGCAAACGTCGGTGTGCGCGTTGCGCGCCGGCGGCGCCCGGGGCGCAACGGTGTTGTTGAAGGAAGAAGGAACGGTTACGTTACGTATGGCGGAGAGGCCGGGCGGTATCTCCTGAATATTTAGGAGGCGGGGGACATATTTTATTTAGACGAGCGGAATAAAACGTCGGTTTTCCGCGCGCGGATGCGGCGCGTTCCGGGTCATAGCGGACGCTTCAGAGATCGTCTTCGTCGCATCCTGGAACAGGCGTGCGGACCGTACGTGCGCGCGCGCGCGCACGCGTGTAAGGATTTGCGGTGTACCGCCTTGTAAAAATTTGAACGTAATGTAATGAGCGAGCCGTGGGAAATTCTCCAACGCGAACTGATTGACGCGTAATTCCTTTGCTTTTCTCTTCGCGTGCCCCGAAGGATCGATGCGTCAACGTTACAGCTTTTTTTGTCGCTCCCTTAGTCAGCATTACATGTACGTATACCTGCAATAATGATAGCGATCTATGCGATGGCGTATTAATTTTTTAACTGCCACATAATTAATGCAGATCTGCAGTTGACAGATCTGTATTAATTATGTACTGCTACTTTTATTTACATTTTTTCTCCTTTTTTTCCTTGAAAATGTTCTCTAATTTATATGCATATATGTACATACATTCGTGACTTATTTTTTATTTATAATTATTATAAATTTTTTTATAGTTAATTTAGATTCAAACTATTGATTAATAGGAACTAGATCAATCCAATTCTATTCCTGAGATTTAATAATTCAATAATATTTGCCATTGATCGGTTTAAATATAGATAAACGAGCCAGTCTTAACGGTACAAACAACATTTAACATACACAACAAAGTTTAAGTTGACGCGAAACACTATTTCTGTTTTAAACATTTAACACGTTCTAAAATCAGTACAGAATACAATTGTGACTTTACTTTAAAGTTATAAAGTAGCAAGTGTTGTATGTTTATTGTTTATTCGATTATTTATATCAAAGTCTCCTTACAATTTCTGTTCTATTTATTCGTTTCGATGAAACATTTATTCTCTGATTTAATATTCTTCTTTAATTAGAATTAAATATTGAAAGATTACCGCAAACACAAATTACAAATTTAAACTTTGCATTTATCTTTTATAATATGAAAAACTGCAATAACAGGCTGTGACAAGTATATATTTCGTATAAAGGAAAGAATAAGAGGAGATAGAAATAGTACTCGATCAATGTAAGACGTCAATGTAAGACGTCAATGTCTCCGAAATCGAAAGTCTAATCGCTATCTGCCGTTACATTTACATTATAAATATACATTATAAATATTCTGGAAATTATTATATAAATTTCAGTTAATCGGACAATATACTTACGCTTAGTTTTCTGTGTTTGCCCATTATGAGATGAAATAAATAGCGACATAATAAACGGGAGATAACAAAGTGAATTTATACATTGAGTATATTCATATTTTAACATATATAATACGAATCATTATACTGCGGTTCATTAGTCCGATTACACAATCCATGCAAAAATGAAATCCGTATGAGACAATGAAGTTATATCATCACAAATCTCATTTCGCAAATTTGCTTTTTATCTTTAATCGCTTATTTAACTCGAATTAATTTCAAAGATATTTACTACGAATTCTCGAAAAAAATTTGTTAACGGGCGAGAGACGGACCCGATCAGTTTTGAATCGGTAATTTCGACGAGATAAAGACGTCGCGTTGACATAATCTTTCTGAATTTTTCCTGACAATCGGGACACAGTTGTGTAGTACATGACTCGTATGTCGCGTTTTCGGTACGCTCGGTCGCTGCAATGCGGACAAAATTGTGCCGCTGCATAAAGCATAGCGAGTGACGAGGGGAGGAAATGCGCGGATGCGGAAATATAATTCGGTTGGCATGCACACGCTTCCATGTGCCATCTCCACAAGTCAGCAAGCTACTTCATCAGACATGTTGATGAGACATGTACAACGATTTAGCGAGTTGACTTTTTACGTAACTCCCTACGTTTTCACTTTGCCTTCACGTTGCGGTCCCGGGTACACGCAACAATTCATCGTGGCTGTTCTCGTAGATGCGCGAGCGTGATAAGCGAGCGGGAATTATCTCCCGCCGCCATGAAGAGAGTATGATATTCTTTTGTTTTTCAATTGGCCGTAATTACGAGTGCGCGGCTGAATCATGACGAGATTTCACGATAAGAGCGTAATTGATGGCGGACGCCATTTACATCGATCATTAAAAAATGCCTGAATTTGAACCATGAAAGACGGCGATAATAATCGCGGAGTAAGAGTTGACTCACACTTTTGCTCTTGTTTGATAAAGCTAAAGATTTGAAATATATAATATATAATATTGTAATATAGTTGTTGAGAATATAATAAATGTCGAATTATAAGATTGAAAACACACGAAAGTGATTTTAATCTTTAATTTCATAAGGTTTGACAAAGACGAGATTTTAATTCTTTCGGAATATTTACGTATAAATTTTTTTGAATTTTAGCAAGAGCTAGAAAATTAAAAATTTGTATGTTAAATTGAATTTTTAATGATAAAGATGTAGGCATGTACGTTTATATCCTCCGCGCAAACCTGAAATGAAAACAATACGTTCTTCTTCATGTAATTGATTAATGACGAAAAAATACTTGTCAGCATGACGAGCGATGGCATGCACGATGAACGATGCATTCGTATAGTCATGATCACTTGACCATACCTGTGTACATCAGCGTAGTCCGTAGCGTTGCATCCCGGCTTACCACAAATCCACAAATTGCCATCGTTGACTTTAATTAATGCACACTTCTCCCTATTTCCTACCATTGACTACATCTATATCTATCGTATTCAAACTCTCAGCTGCATTGTACTCCTACATATCTCTGTCCCGCGTTGTCCACAGATGGAGAGTGCGGTGAGTTAGGAAGGTTTAATTGAGATTTTCGCATCATTATACAGAAACATTTATTATCCTCTCGTACATATAGATAACATCGAATAGTCTCCTCCAGAGTTTCGATAGCATCCATCGATCGACAGCGAGCCTTCTTCCTTTGAGAAAAGTCACCGCGTAGCCAAGAAGGCTGTGAGAGAAGGAAGACATCGAAAAAGCGCACGCGATATCGTCGGCTTGTCCAAAACGCATTGCGATTCTCCTCGTTAGAGAATATAACGAGCTCTCGGCACCCGGTATCGTTTTACACCCGGTGCCCGTCTATGAACGCATTATTATTCCCTTATTGTATCATACAACCCGCTGGCGGAGTTTGCAACTTTAATTTAACCCGTTACCAAAGCGCACGCCTGCCGCCAACGTCGCGGCTTATACGAGCGCGTATCCGACGTTGGATTAATTCGAAACGAAGAAGGAGCCGTTTCTGGTTTAGTTGCTGAGTTAGAAAATTGTTCGCCCGGAATGACGCGACCCGCCGCGCGGAATACGAAGGGTGTAAAGACGGAACGTTGCGACGTCGCGCAGCGACGTCGTCTCGCGCGGCCTTAACTCTTCATTGCGTAACCTTAACGCCGGCGTTAGACTTGTAACCATAATAGACTTTGTTCCCAACTCGTTTCCCGACTGAGGCGCATTTTGTGGAAACGCCATCCCGGAAAGTACAAACTTGATCCGTCGTGTCTGCATTACGGGGAAACTCAACGTTATGTCGCGGCGCAATCTTCAATTTTATCGCGTAGCGATTGTACGCTGTAGATAATTAAAGGACCCTGCGAATGCAAGCGTTTCAGTCGCGACCGCAACTAAAATGTATACTTAATGTGTTGTAGTTTGTAAAATAGTTATGTAAAATTACAAAATTTCTTATTCTCGGGGACTTTTTCACCGGAACAGCCAGTCTTGCTGCGTTTCAGCTTGCTGCGTACGGAGCTACATATTTTTTTATTAAGCAGTCTATTATTTCTTATTAAATAGCAGTTTATATTTTTGCCACGATTAAATTTGACGAATACAATTTTAACGAATAAACAGCTTATTTATATATATGCTTTTAATTTGCTCAAATAGAATATGCATAGGATACGTAACGGAATATAAAAAAGCATCAGTTTGAAATTATGTAATATTAGATAGAGCTAAAGTAATAATGTAAAATAAAAGTGTAATTTATCTCTTTATTAACGTTTCAGTTTCTCCAATGATCTTCGTGCCGAATCAGCTTGTCGGTGCGCCAACTGGCACGAACGTAACGATCGACTGTCATACGGAAGCTTATCCCCGTGCCATGAGCTACTGGTTTCTGGGAGATGAGATGATTCTCTCCAACGAGAAGTACACCACGAATACTATGGAGAACAGCTACCGCGCGCACATGAGGCTCACCATCAGAAACTTGACAGCGAGTGACTTCGGTAGCTACCGGTGCATTAGCAAAAACTCACTGGGCGAGACGGAGGGATCCATCAGATTATACCGTAAGCTGACGTGCATTTTCTAGCCCGTTCGTGTCTGGACAAACAATTTTTTTTTCCTGACCGCTATCGTTATGCATCTATCCGCGCGGTGTGTTTGCTATACGGGATATTATAGCGCGACGCGGGCGTGTTTCGCGACGTGAATAATTTAAAAGTGAAACGGCTTTCATAAATCGCGAATTCCTCGGGCCTTTGTTTAATTTCGCTCGAGTCGAAGATTTATCTAAAGCCGGATGTTAGCAGTAAATCGGCGCGGTTAAATCGCCGAGGAAATGTCTCCCCGCCGTTATATCCTCCCCGGCCATGCAATTCCCGCCGTTCGGAGATAAGATGACCCGCCCTTCTCCCCCCTCCTCCCCCCCCCAGTTAAAATATGAATAAGGCGGCGGAGTTCAAGTCAAATTTATTGGCCGATATTTAAGAAGTTATACGACGTCATTAAAGACGAACGATTTTTATTTCAGCTATTCCGAAGCCATCGGCGGCACCGAAGGCGACGGAGATCAAGAGCAGCGCCAACAATGAAGGTGAGAATCTTATTGAATATATGCATTCCGACGAGAAAATCGATATTATCGGTGGACGATTTTCTAACAATTCTCACGCAGAAACAAACTCATTATTATTCACATTTTATTCCGAAGAATCATAGAATCTTAAGTTGCTTTCTCGTCTCTCCTTTGTCATATTCATGTGCGAACGAGAAAGCCGCAGGTGCGTCTCATTTGAAGAAAAAAATTACATCAAACCGTAAGAGAGGAAGGGATATGAAAATCTAAATTAGGGCAATTTATCACGCGTCTTTCGAGAAAAAGTAACGATTTGCATCTCGGAGTCTCGACAATATCTGACATCGCATAAACAGTAACTGCAAAATATTTATTCTTTTTTTTTATTTCTTAGAAAGTGTTTTTTTTATTTCTTAAAGAATTTATTGTTGCATTAAAAGAACTTACGTTTCCGCGTAAAGCACGTCCGAACAAATAAGGAACTCGCAATTAAATACGATAGGGGATATTCTTCAAAGGGAATTGCTCGGGTGTTTCGCATCGAATAGAGTACAATATTTCCGGAGTTAGCCTTTATATTAGACTCGCAGAACCCGCGCATTGGCGCGTATATGTATTATTAAAGCAGGGCGAATAACTTGGGCAGATGCCTAGGTCAGGTCCCTGTGGTTCTCCGACCTCCTCTCCTCAACCTCGCGAAACCAATCTCAATATACTGCATTATTAACGCCATACAAGGCTCGGCCACGACGGTATTACCGCCATTAAGCTTCGCAATTTTACCGTACCGGCCCCGCTGGCCGCTAGGTGGATTATCGTTATTTCGAAGCGTCCGGGGAGAGAGAGAGTTGACCGTTCTAATGAATAACTATTATTCCGCGAATTTCCGCGAGCGCACCCCCTCCCGCCCCTCCGTGTTGCTCCGCCACCGATATTGATGTTGCCGCGGCTGAATTTTCTCGCGACGCGACGCTCGTAAAAGCCGGGCGAGATCGTAACCGAGATTTACGAGCGACGAAAGCGTAAGTCCGACGCGCGATTCTTCGAAAACCGAAGGGCGAACGCGCGAACATACGTGCAAATAATGGTAATCGAAAACGTTCCTTCGATGGAGATATCTCGCCACCGCGGGTGGAAGCGTCGCCGTAACTTCGACTCCGATTTTCCTCCAGCTAATGCAATTTACCGTATTAACGATTTGCCGTATAGACGCACATATTCCGCGCGCGTGAGACGAGACAGCGACTTCATCATAATGTATGGCCCTCGACTACTGATTAAATATTACGAGAAACTTTGGCGAAATCGGCAAGGGACACGTCACTTTCGTCTCTCTGTCGCTTCTCCTCTCTCTCTCTCTCT